ATCTACAAGGGAACAGTAGTTAGAAATTATGATTTTAAGGGGTTTTTTTCAGTGTTTTTTAAGATTTTGTGTTAAGATTTTTAATTATTGTTAAGATCGTTACCACTCCAAGATGCTGGTTTGCACATACGAAGCAAAACAAAATATCCACCTGAAAGCATTTTGGTGAAAAGAGGATTTTTTTTTCTTTTTTTCTGACGTTGATACCAAATTTATTTTTTTTCAGGTCGGTTATTTGTACTACAATAACTGCGTGTCAATCCGTTTGGGTCTGAAAACTAGAATTTTGTTTCTGCTTAATTTTCGAAGCGATTCTCAAGCTGTTTTTCCCCACCCTCAGCAAGGGCTGCTGAGTGTGATCCCATAAAAGAGGCTGCACTGGGGACTGAACGCTCTGAGTGTGATCCCATAAAAGAGGCTGCAGTGGGGACTGAACGGTCTGACTCACCTGCCACCCTGTCCCACGACACTGCAGGACATATGTCAGGCAAATATTTTTGCCCGACACATACTTTTATCCGGTACCTCCTGGGAGAAAGCGGCTCCACGGGAGACAAGGCGTTATTTGCCGGGATTTGTGGGATCCAGCCTGAAAAACAACTTCTCCCCGCGCACGGCAGGTATGAGGCGGCCGTGAGTCATGAGGGACTCGTTCTCATGGAGCCAGATCATCAGATAAAGGACCTGGCGCGGGTCCACCGGGCGCTGTAAAACCAGCGCGATGGCTGGAGCGCGGCTCTGGCACGGGATCCCTGCGGATTTCGGGGCGACCAGACTCGCCCTTGGCTCTGCGGAGGCAGGAGGAGACAGCCCTGCCACGCTGACAAAGAGCCCCTCCTTGATAATGACCCCGGAGATGGTGCCCTGCAGCACAGCCAACATCAGGGGGGAAAAAAAATGTACCTGAAAAATGACCGGCGTCTGCCAAGAAGCAGAGCAAGACCCAGCTTGAGGAAATCATGCAGAACATCTCTGAGAATGAGAATTTAAAACTAGGCATTCTTTTCCTCAGTACCACAAAAACAACCGTGTTTAGTCATTTGCTGCTAACGCAAATGTAATTAATCTTTGAGGTTTTTTTTAATTGGTATTTTTTTCACTACCATCACAAACAGAGCTGATAACAAGATATATGTAAAATTTTGGTTGTTTAATACTTCTCAATCAGGTTCCCAAATGCAGGGCTTTTTTATCATCCTTACAGAGGAAGAGTGTTAGCATATGTAGTTCATTATTTTCTAAGATAGCAGAGGTGTCTCTGGGGAAAAAAAAAATCTCAAAGCTGGATCACTAAGCAGTGCTATTATTTCGCACAGGCTTTAAAGTTTAGTGTCTGGGAGAGGAGTGGTTGCCCTGATACGGTTTTTAGCATATAATTCCATGAAATAAGACATGTTAAAAGCAATCTGCAAAGCCTCCCTAAAGCCCCAAACCAGTAATTTTCTTACCAGATCACATCAAGTACAGAGTATGTTCTGTTACTGTCTACAGTAAGGAGCTTATGTGATCTCCATCAAATGATGATGTGCCTCAGTTCTCTGCCTCTAAAGAAGAGTTCTCAGATTTACAAGGAAGCCACAAGATTTTTATTAACTTGTGTTCTCATTTGTTCAGCTATTACAGTCACAAGAACTAAAAGCACTCTGCTGAAAGCCCAAGCATGGTCCCCCAACCTGCCTTTTAATTAATGGCTTAACTTTTGTATGTCCAAATCAATTCCTAAAAGGAACTGACTCTTGGGGTACTGAGCAGGCAGAGCTGCCATTACCCTAAGCTCTGAACTAGCAAAAACTCATCCGTGTGCCTGGCTGCCTGGAGGACATTCCAGTTGGAATGTCACTAACCAGTAGGATTATCTACACTGCTTTAAAAATTTTCCTCAGCGGACATGGTGGTTTAAGATTTCCCACCCTCTTCCTACCACTCATTCCCATCCCCACACCACGCTCCTCACTTGCCTGTGAGGGTGTGCTTTAAATGACATCAGCAAAGGAACTCCAGCATCTCCTACAATGTGCAATTGTGCCCCTTTCATCACCTTCTTCCGAGGTAGTTTCCTTCCAGCCTACAACCCTCCCTTGCTGTCGACATTCAGGAGCACCTGGTAAGCCAGGCCAGCTTTCTGGTCTGCCTGAAAAATTCACCAAGGGAGTGTTGTTTTTTTTTTTTAAGTGAGATCACTGAGCTGATTCAGTTACTGTTCAACCACGTGAATGCAAGGGCAACCTCATGAACACCAGCACGACACAAGAAGGGGATGGCAGCCTCCCTCAGACACAGGGTAGCAGTGGGCAAATACACAGATTTTTGTTTAACAGGTTTGGAAAATTGCAACCTGCAAATTAATGCTCTTTTATTTCAGCTTTAAGGCTATTACCTAGTTGCCAGCTGCTGCTCACAAAAAATAGGTGCAAAATAATTTAGCTCTAACATACAGGACAAAGGTGCCCTTTGACCTCTTGAAGCACCAGGTTGGTTGAGTTCAGACATGCCAAGCAACCCTTTAGAAGGATTTCAATCTAAAAAAGAAAAGGCTGAAGCCCTGGACTAAATCCTGTTCTCTAAAAGGACTGAGAAATACTGCAAGACAATGAAACAGAGTGAGAAGAGGGTTTCTTTGTGATGCTTCTGCTAACACACATGCAGGAGAGAGAAGGATTTATACAAGGCTGGCTACCTTGCCACAAAAAGCTAAATTAGGTTGGTTTCGTATGATTTGTTCTCAATAAACCTAGTACTGACTGCTGTTTGTCAGTCTGGCTAACTATTAGCATTTGATTTATTTATTTTAATTTATTTATTTATTTATTGTCAGGGACCCGTGAGTGCTCTGGAATTCACTTGCTACTTTTTTTTTTCTGCCTCTGGAACACAAACTCTTCTGGTGCCCTTTTCCAGCCTTCTTACACTTCATCAAATAAAAGCTCAGAGCCTAGACAGCCAGTTCTCTGAGCATCCTAACTGTGAATTTTGTTTAAGACTAGCCCTTTTGAAAGCACTTAAATAACTGAAATTCTCTCAGATGAACTCTTTCCACATTCTATCATGAACTCTGACTCCTTTCTTGTTGAGGTTTGTTGAAGTAATTCTCAAATCACAGTGCAGGTAGAAGGTATACAATCTACTTTTTGATTAAACTTAAGTGCCAACTAAGTGCAAGCTGGGTTTCATCTAGTTCAGTTTTACAACTTTTACCATCTTCCCAATGAAACAGGAGTTTGAATAACAATGTTCATTAGAGAAATAAAATCTCTGGTGTGCTCTTTGTAACAGAGTCATGCACACCTTCAGAAGTGTCCAAGGCCCTGGTTCTCCAAATCAGTTTAAGCAGAGTTCTTTGAGAGCATGGCACTCTCTCCAGGCTGATCCAGTGAGGCCTGAAGCCCCAAATAAAATCAAGGAACAAGTCAGGGTGATAGCCAGAAGAAGGAGGCCATATAGAAGTGACCTATGGACTTGTCTCTCCACACAGCTATTTTGTATTCCTGATTTATTTATGCATTGATGTTCTCATTCACAGTAAGCCATTGTTTAGTTTAATCCATAGTAAATTAAGCAGGAAGAAGTCCATGTGGAATAAAGCCCTGAGAACAGACTTGATGTCCCATGTCTTTTGAAAGTAATTAAATGTCTCTGTAGATTCTTTTTTAAATGGGGCTTTGCAAAGAACTGCTATTATCTTGGCTTTAAAACACATTGTCCTCTATCTATTGCCTAACCTGCCAGATTAAATGACACACACTCGCTGCCCAGAACAATCACCTCGAGTCTGATATTCAGTGTAACAAACAAACACGAGCTTTATTAACCTTTAGACCTGTGATAGGTGTGAAGGTCATGATGCAGATGGGAATAGCCTCTTTACCTTTGTGTTACATACCAAAAGTTGCAGGCTCCTTCCTTCCAACTGCAGCATCTCAGTGACACGATGAGACCCTGTGTCCATCAGTCTGAGTCGTGGCTGAACATGAGCCCAGGTGTGCCCAGGTGAGCAAGAAGGCCAGTGGCATCCTGGCCTGTGTCAAAACTAGTGTGGCCAGCAGGACCAGGGAAGTGATTTGTCTCCCAGCAGGACCAGGGAAGTGATTTGTCTCCCTGTACTCAGCACTGGTGAGGTCATACCCCAAGTCCTGTGTCCAGGTCTGGGTCCCTCAATTCAGGAAAGACATTGAGGTGCTGGAGCAGGTCCAGAGAAGAGCAAAGGAGATGGGGAATGGTCTGGGGAGTCAGTCCTATGATGAGCAGCTGAGGGAGCTTATCCTGGGCAAAAGGATGCTCAGAGGAGACCTGATCACTCTCTACAACTACTTGAAAGGAGGTTGTAGCCAAGTGGGGGGTCAGGCTCTTCTCCCAGGCAACAAGCGACAGGACAAGAAAAAATGGCCTCAAGCTGCACCAGGGGATGTTCAGGTTGGACATCAGAAAGAATTTCTTCATGGAAAGGGTGGTCAGGCATTGGCAGGGGCTGCCCAGGGAGGTGGTGGAGTCCCCATCCCTGGAGGTGTTCAGGGAACAACTGGATGTGGCACTCAGTGTTCTGGGCTGGGGGACAAGGTGGAGAATGGTCACAGGTTGGACTTCATGATCTTGGAGGTTACTCTCCAGCCTAACTGATTCTATGAGTCCAGTGGTACCTGCAATTAGATCAACAAAAGGATCCAGGCACTGCAATCTGCCACTGGGATCATCAAAGCTTCTAATCCCAGGGGCAACTAAAACCCAGAGAGCTTGCCTGGAGAGACACCAGCCTTGGCCACACAGTGAAGGCTCCCGGAGTCCTGCAGAGCCGGGTGGGATGCACAGGGGAAGGGATGGAGGGACGGGGTTCCCCGAGCAAGGGAAGAAGAAAAGGCAGGAATACAGTGGCTGGTGCTTCCCTGCCCTTTATTTAACAGCTCATTTGTCACGGCTCAACAGCGTGCGCTCGCTCCCCTCCCGCCCCATCGCTTTTGCCCGAGGAGCTCCGGACACGAACTTTGCCCCGGGGCAGCCGTAACCTGGGAACTGCCCCGCTCCCCCGGACCCGGGAGACAAGAGGGGCCTCTGGAAAACCCACCCACTCGCCCAGCCCAGGAAGTGACGCCGGGCCGGTCCCCCCCCCGGCACACACCTGACTCACCTGACTCACCTGGGCGGGCGGACGGCGGGGAAGGAGGGAGGGAGCGGCGGCGGCTGCGCTCGCTCCGCGGAGCCGGGCGGTGTCCGGGCACAGCGGCAGCGATGGCCAAGGACAGCGGCTCCCCGTGGGCCATGGGACTGCTGAAAACCTTCGAGGAGAGCGAGTTCGGCAGCTGGGAGAAGATCGGCTCGGGGGGGTTCGGGCAGGTGTACAAGGTGCGGCACCTCCACTGGAAGACCTGGCTCGCCATCAAGTGTTCGCCCAGCCTCCATGTGGATGAGAAGTAAGGGGGGGACGAGGGGAATTTGGGGAGGGACGAGGAGAATTTGGGGGGGGACGACGATGCTTTTCCCACAGGGGCATCCCGGAGCCCTCGGTTGCCCCACAGCTCCCTGCGGTTGCCCTTGCGTGGATGCGCAGCTGGGGGGAGCCGCGGGGTGACTGAGGGCTCCCCATCCGCAGCCTTGCCCGCCTCGCAGCCCTTTCTTCCGACAGCAGCAGATAGGATCAGATAGTCCATGTGCCTTGCCTTGTTCCCTCGGAGCCACTCGGAAAGCATTTTTGCCCTGCCCAGGTTGTGCGTGTGTTGGCTTGTGCTAAAGGCAGTGGGCCTGCTGCAGCTCCAAAGGTCGTGGAAACCAGTCCCGAACGGGAAACGCTGAATGGGATCCAGGGGCTTCTCAGTGGGCTCCCTGCCTTGAGCAAAGCAGTCCTTTAGCTCAGAGGTGTGTTAGCTGTGACTCCTGTGCGGTAGCAGCAGGTTTAGGGTGGGGGGCGTTGGGGTGTGGGTGCTGTAGCCGTGGGCTTGGTGTCTTTTGGGAGTGGGTGCTGGAAGGAGACGTGCTGGGAAATGTGTTCACCACGTTCAGCTCAGGGCCAGCGCCTCTCCCTGTGTGTGTGTGTGCTCGGGGTGAGTCCTCCCTGGGCAGTCCGGTGTGGGAATGTGTTGTAGGGCAGGTAAAGGTACCACACAGTGGGAACTCCCTCCAGCCCCCTCTGTGAGTAGCTGTGGAGGACGATGGGCTGGGCTGTGCTCATGCTGTGTGTGGGATCATAAAATGGTTTGGGTTCGAAGGGACCTTAAAGATCATCCAGTTCCAACACCCTTCCATGGACAGGGACACCTTCCACTACACCAGGTTGCTCAAAGCCCCGTCCAGCCTGGCCTTGAGCACTTCCAGGGATGGGGGCCTACTGAGCGCAGCTCTCCTTTCCTAGGAGAGGAAGGCTGTCAGATGCATCTTTAGAAACATCCTTCTGTTTTAGGGGCAGGAGTGATTTCCAGCAGTCAGCATCTGTGCAGAAGGAGGTGAGTAGGGTCCAATCACATTCACAGAGCTTTTCCAGCTCCACCTTGATCTTTGGGATCTTTACCAACTCATGAGCTGATTCTGCAGTTCATTTTTTGAGGCGTGACGTTGGTTCAGTCTCAAAAGGTTTTCATTGTTGTGGATCCTGCAGGAGGAGGGAGATAAGCTGCCCCAAGATTGAAAATGTTTGTAAGCCCATCTTCTGCAAGATTTCTGGGGTAGTGGGGCATCTTTTCCATTATCTGAATTGCTGACTTTGCTATAGGCATGGCTTATGTAGGATAGTAAGTGAAATTAAATGTCCTTTTTAAGAAAGGGGAAAGGGAGAGTTTAATATATGCATAGGGTAACTGTGCTGTCTGTGAATAAAATGGAAAAGACCTCAAAGTTGCAGAGGTTGTTTTGTTGGGTTAACCTGCAAGCCCCCCTACCACTGAAACTTCAAAGTAGATTTCAGGCTTGATGCTTATTGAGGCCTAATCAAGATAGTACTGTAGCTGATTAATTTTTCAGTTAGGATTAAAACATGTCTTAAAAATAAGCCAGAACATCTGTTACACTTTTAGTTTGCAAAACACATCTGGAAGTTTACTCCAGAAGTTAATTTTCACTCTGAGTCAAAGGATGCTGTCACCTATTTTAATATGAACAATTAATTTTGAGAGTTGCTACCACAGCTGTATATTAATATATACTGCGTGCAGTAGGGAACCACCTGTCCCTCAGTGGCTATGAGGTGTGCACATACTGGAAGACCATACAAACATCCAGTGCAATAAGCAAAATGCCTTGAGAATTCGGGAACTTTGAGGGCGTGGGGCTCCTGCAGCTTCTGATTCATTTCAATAAACCAGTCCTTGAAACACTAATTTATTTTACTGTAGAATTTGTGCTTCAGATGCTTGAGGGGGAGCATTGATTAGAAACTGGAGGGTTCCTGGCCTTTGAAGCAGCTGCCCTTGCAAAATAAAGCTTAGCTACATTTTTTTGTTTATTACTAGTTCTCCTTTGGTTTTTGGGTTGCTCTCCCTTTCAGGAGTTGGTTCCACTGAGACTTTTCACCCAAAACTTTTCTAATAAACCTGTGCTATTCAAATGGTGGGGTGGGGGGCACAGACAAAATCAAACACTACCTCTTTAGTCCGCAGGTCGAAACAAGCCTGTGTAATTAGACTGTTAATCCAGGAGATTAACTTGACTAGCTGTTACTTGGAAGCCTGTGAAGAGCTAGAAGAATTGCCAGTGGTATCAGAAACATTAACTGAAAAACAGGGAGGCTTTTTCTGATGTATTTATTTGGTACCACATTAAAACCCTGTTTGTAATGGCTCGGTGGCGGTAACGCTCTGTAGTCTCTCTTGCTGTGCTTCTGCAGACAGTGAGAGATTTGGAGTAATTCCCTTGGCAATTATCACATCACAGAGCCAAGTGGCCTCCAGCAGAAGAAAAACTGAACGTAGAGCCAGAAGTGCTTTTACCTTTAAGCCCAAGCCCTCTCAGACAATCCAGCCAAATTCCATTCCATTCCTAGCACCTTATTTGCTCCCACTTTCCCCAGTCCCCTGAGACTGCATTTCCCAAATATGACTCAAGGTGCTCTCAAGGTGGGGAGGGTCGATGTAAGTCCGAAGGAAAAGAGTGTGACAAAGAAAGGTGGAGGAGCCTCTTCCCCCAGGACTTGCAGTGGAGAGGGCGAAGTCACTTCTCTTTACCCGTGTGGGCCAGGATGGAAGTGTGGTCTGGAGAAAAAGGGTGGGAATCTTGGAGAGGATCCTTTGTGGATTTCTTACATCTGAACATAAACGTGCAGACTGTGATGGGTGTGAACGAGGCAACATTTCCTGGAGAGGGCTCCTCACTGGAGGTGTCGGTCATGGGGGTGACTGCAGGGTTGTGGAGGTAGAAAGATCTGCCTCCTTCATTGGGGGAAAAAAATTAGCAAAGCCCTGTGTGTACCTCCCTCTGCATACCCTGGATTTGGGAGTGGAGCAGGACTTAGAAGTTTAGGAGGTTTTAGAATTGCCTTGCTGTTAGCGGAATCTGTGTTTATTTAGGTGATGAAGGTGAATAAACATCTCTTCTGGTGGCCTCTGGATGTGTAGGTAGAACCTAATACTCTCCTTGTGCTCCTTAAGGACTAAAGGTGAGCCTGGCTCTCCAGTTTAACCTGTAATCCTCTGGTACCAGGGCTGTGCTACAGAGGTCTGTTAGCAGGGCTGAGATCTGTTAACCTGAAAGAAGGGTTTTTTTCTATTTTTTCTTTTTCGTTTTTTTCCCCAACATATTCTGCCCAGACCACGCAGTGGTTTTTCCTGTATTCTCTTATTCACGTTCTTCTCTGAGGGTCAGCAATGTGCAGGTCATTAAAGATGTTCCCTGCAGAGCAAGAGGACACTGTATGCCCTTAAAACATATGCCATGATGCGGATGAAAAGAGTTCCTGAAGAAATTCAGAGGTGTTAATAATTTTGTGGACCCCACCTGCACCACCAGCAGTTTTTGCATTCCTGACTTCCCTGGGCTGGGAGAAGCCTGGCTGCTCTGCCTCTGGAGGTGTTTCACACAAATGGCCCCATGACAGGTTTTCAGAGCCTTTTTTGAGTTTCTCTGGAGCAACTTTAACTGCTCTGTCTCAGACTCCATTAGGGAAATGTGGTGGCAGCGGTGGGGGAATATAAAACTGCAAGGACTGCCTCGTGAGTTTAAAGCTGTGTTTTTATAACAGTGTTATCTCTAGGGCATAAAGATTGGATACACACAAATGCAGATACAGCCGTAATTCCTGCTGTTCTTGTGGCAGGGTTTGTGGTACAAAGGCTGGGCCCTGGGGAGCGAGACAGTGGGCAAGAGCAAGTCCCTTGTCTCTGCTGCAGAATCCAGAGAATGCAGCCCTGTCTGTTCGGGGTCTGACTTTGAGTGGAAGCAGACAGCTCTTTTGAGGATGTCACAGGTCTCCCATTCGTGTAATATTTGTGATTGCTTTGAAAATGGCTGTTCTGTTATCGACTTCTCTGACAGAGATGCTGTTTGGCACTGGACTCGGTGCTAGAGCTCTTGATGTGTGTGCCCCTGTCTTCTAGGCCCATTATAGGGGGAAGTGTGTGCATGCCATGATATACATGAGTTCAGCTGTCCTATGTGCAAGTTTTTCCTTTTTTCCTTTTTCCTTTTTTCCTTTTTCCTTTTTTCCTTTTTCCTTTTTTTCCTTTTTCCTTTTTTCCTTTTTCCTTTTTTTCCTTTTTCCTTTTTTCCTTTTTCCTTTTTTCCTTTTTCCTTTTTTTTCTTTTTCCTTTTTTCCTTTTTCTCCTTTTTCCTTTTTTCCTTTTTCCTTTTTTCCTTTTTCCTTTTTTCCTTTTTCCTTTTTCTCCTTTTTCCTTTTTTCCTTTTTCCTTTATTTCCTTTTTCCTTTTTTCCATTTTCCTTTTTTTCCATTTTCCTTTTTTTCCATTTTCC